GGTGTGTGTTTAGGGCCCGGATGGCTTGGGGATAGAAGCTTCTCTTGAGTCTCTCTGTCCTTGCTCGGATGATGCGGAACCTTCTACCGGATTGCAGAAGTTGGAACAGTTTGTTGCCAGGATGGGACGGGTCCTTCAGTATCTGCGCTGCTCTAGTCCGGCGTCTCCTGGTTTAGGTGTCCTGAAGCGGGGGGAGAGCAATCCTGCAGCAGCGTTCTGCTGTACGGATCACTCTCTGGAGAGCTTTTTGGTCCTTAACACAGCTGTTCCCAAACCACGATGTGATGTTCTGTGAAAATGCTCTCCACAGCGCCTGTATAGAAAATCCTGAGGATCTTTGGAGAGACCCTGAACTTCCTCAGTTGACACAGTCGGGTTACACAGCCGGGTTAAGAAATGTAATGACTGTTGTCTTTACTTGAACTTTGCAATAACAAAAAACTGTGGTAAATACATTGAAAGCATCACTGGCTTTTATTTTGTTGAATGAAATATGTTCTCCGGAATTCGTCCCTGGCATTTTTATGTAACCTAGCTAGTTGGGAAGTTTTAAATTTATGCAGATTTCCACCGTTCCCTGCTCTTATATGGAGAGAAATTTGCCGCAAAAGACTGACATACTTCTATCCCTAGCTTATTAAGTTATTCGTAAGCCAGCTTCAAACATTTTTTAAAAATTATTTATTTATTCATTCTCATTTCCAGACAGTTTGATTAGAGTGAGGAAACAAAACCGTTTGGTTAGGTTTAGAAAAAGATTTCAGTTTCAATAAAGTCAATCACCTTTTACGAAGCCACAATGGAAAACGTCTCACACATGACCACATTTCACACAGTTTTAACTTAATTCACCAGTGTCCCCGCTGCCCTGTGGGCTGGCAAACACTGTAAGGCCTTTTGTCTGCCAATATCATTTAATTAATGACGTCATTCTACACTCTCACATGGATTGTGTGTATGCCTGCATTTAGACCCCGAAGACCGGAGTATGACCAGAGTTAGAGCTTACCTCCGGAATATTCAGAAGTACTCTGAAAATTATTTTTATAACACAAATTTAAAACTGAGTTTTATAAATTTCTCTGTTATAGTTTATTATAAAACGCCATTACAGCCACTTTAATTTGGATTCCAAGCGCCGCTGTCTGTTGTGTTCACTCTAGTATCCTAGCAACGTGGGAATATACCATTTGGAGGTGGATCAGGTTAAAACTAATACAGCGTTTTTCACAAAATCACAGTTTTGCTTATATCTTATTTAAACCGAAACATTTTATTAAATATAATTACTTATCTGTATGCACATATAATGACTATGACGAGAAGATACAGCCTTTATTTCATGCCAACATTTTCACTACCCCCCACTCTTCCATTTGGAACAATGCGACCCATCACTCTTCCGCTCACAAACAGCGGGTCGTTGAAGAGGTAGGTTTCAAGCTACTTTAATGTGAAGTGTAAAAAAATAACAAGCTCAGCATTAATCGCAAATGTTTTTTATGAGCCTGTGTACAGGCGTGTGCAGGTCTCTTATAATTACTTTCACTTCAACTGTTAACTTTTTTTGTTCAAAGAGTGCAAACTACCTGAGCTCCTGAACGTACAACAGACCATGAAGCCCCCGAGGTCAACCGTTATTTTAAAATTTACGTTAATGCCTCATAACATATATGTTTTTTCACACATAAAGGTTAATTATTTATTTTAAGCATAAAATACACACTTTGTTGTCTTGTCTTTCTGGGTGAATGTTAAGAGTTCGTTATAAAAGTGGTTGACTCTAATGAAGCTGCTGTAGTAAAACAGGTGTTCCGCTAATTAAAGGTAATCAGGCGGATTGTTTTACAGGTGTGGCTCTCCAACAAATATAGTACCCCACCTTTAAATATATATATGTATTTGGATGTTGTTAAAACAGATTTATGACAAGATTCCCAGAGGTCCCATTTATCAAAACGCGTGCAAGAGCAGATAATGTTCCATACGTACGTACAACTTGCATGGTATAGTTTGAATTACTGTAAGGCTTCTGTTTTTCACTGATGGGGAAAAAAAAAGTTTGAAGTGAATAGATATAAATTAGGCCTTTTTTTTCTTCTCCACAGCAAATGGAAAACTTCATTCTGTACGAGGAGCTTGGGGCAGGCCACAACTCAGTTGTCTATAAAGGAAGAAGGAAGGGCAATCTCAACTATGTTGCCATCAAATGCACTGACAAAACCAAGAAATCCGAGATTACTAACCATGTAGGACAATGTTTGAACTTAGTAGTACATCTGCTAGTTGTATTAGTTTTATATACCAATAACAGAGTTGTTTTTAACAGTCCAAAGAAGGCCGTGATTAGTATTGATATATCTAACTGTCAATCTATTTTCCGCCTGTTAGGGGATGATCTCCCTTTCTGAGGCCACTGCTCCCAGTACACTAGCATATATACAGTGTGCTTTTCATATTGAATAAGATCATGTGAATGATTAGTGCATGATATTTTTAGGTGGAATTTGGCATTGAGCTTTGCCGTAAAAAGCCTGCTTTATAAAAGTGGTCTGATGATTCACTTTTGTATTAGGTACGCCTCACCCAGGATCTGGATCATCCAAATATAGCCAACTTCTACGAGTGGTATGAGACAAGTAACCACCTGTGGTTGGTGGTGGAGCTTTGTACAGGTCAGTCATTATTCCTGGCAGTTGTTATAAACAGTACCCGAATATCAAAGAATATATTTGATGAGAACCACAACTTATAGCAGCTTAAGGCTTAAATTACTTTAATATTTTAAGTTTTTAATAATAAATGTCCTTTCAGAATGTGTTTTTCCCCATTACTCATATATATTCAGTGTTGGTATAGTCTGTAACCACATTTTTTTTAAGCAGTGCAAGGTGTGTCATTCTTTGTTCTCTTTGTTTTTACCTCATGTGCCAAACTTGCATACAAACATGTGCTGGAAATTTCAGGGGGTTCCATGGAGTCTGTAATTGCCCATGATGGAAGCCTGTCACAAGATGCGGTACGAAGGTTTGGATGGCACTTAGTCAAAGGACTGAAACACATCCATGAGTTAGGAATCATTTTCTCTGACCTGACTCCTGCTAAGGTTTGCACCTGCATTCATCTCTATGTAAGTGTATAACAGCAATGCTACCATCATATATGAATGTTGTAATATTTCTCTTTCTGTTGCTCATAGATCCTACTTGATGGCAGCGGCATTCTGAAGTTTGGTAACTTCTGTCTGTCTAAGGCAGAGGGAGACACGCTGCAGGATTTCCTTACCTTGTTCTCTGCATCCGAGGAGATAGAGGAAGGAGACAGCAATCAGAACACTGACAACTTAAAGAAAAGATTACAAGGTTAGTAATCATGCTGTTTCTGTATGCTATCATTTGTTGACTGTATAAAACCAGCTGATTAGAGATAAGAGAGGCTCTAAAGATATACAGCTGTTAGTAGCTGCTGTTGCTCAGATGGAAATGTAAGCAAGGTCTTAATGTTGCATCCAGTGCTCTGGGTGTGCAACCTTAGGAGAGGTATTTCACTTAAGGCAATGACAAAAACATGTCTTGTGTAGGGAATGTTGTTTTGAAATCTTGGTGAGATTAAAAAATAGCAGCATAAAAACTTTTTAAAAAATTAAAATATGTTAAGACTATACCATATTGTATACTTTATGCTATCTGTTTTTTTAACTACTCTGTGTGCATTTATGTATGTATATTTTCAGGTTCTACAGCTTACAGTGCTCCAGAGGTTTTGGAAGGATCAGAAACTAATATGAAGTCTGATCTCTGGTCTCTTGGTTGTATATTATACTACATGTACACTGGTACTGATATGCAAACAGACTCAAACTAATGAAAATACTAATTCTGGCCTGTAATATGTTACGGTACTGTTCTATATTGTTTTTGTTTCCCAGGTACACCCCCCTTCTTCTCTGACAACTACACTGAATTGAGGGAGATGATCTTGAATAAGGAACCACCACCTCCCAGGCAGACAGGTGACAAACACTTCCTCGCACACCCACATCATTATATACAGACACAGACTCGCACACAAAGATGTCACATTTCATATAGTGTTTGATATTTAGAAAAAAATAGTTTTAACAGATAATTGTTGATTTTATTCTTGTTGTTGTTTGTTTGGTTAATTTTCTTCTTTGTACAGTGGTTTCTGCAGGTTCTCCCTGCCAGGATTTCCAGAGTCTTCTGAAAGGGTTGCTCAACAAAAACCCTGAGAGGAGGTTAAGCTCATACACACACAACAAACACTTACAATTCTGATACAGTTGCTATAGTTTCATCATCTGGATGCTCAAATGCTTCTATAAATCGATGCACATGTTCAGAAGCATTGCTCAGACAGTGGGATTTAATAAATGAGTGATCAGTATGAATGAATGAATGCTCAGTGTGCTGAAAACAAAAAATCACCACACCACTACACCACCTGTCTGAACTGACACAAAGCAGTCTGGGTTCATGGAGTCATGCTAGTTATGCCAAAGTCTGACCTTGCCATCTGTGTGCCTTAGCAGAAATTAAAATTCATTATTCATAATTATTAATTTTTCCAGTATTGCGTTGTCCAGTTTTTGTGAGTCTGTTCCCATTGCTGCTTCAAATTTCTGTTCTTGGCTGATAGGAGAGAACACACATGGTCCTGTTTTGTTGTAGCCCATCTGCCTGGAAGTTGTAAATGTTTTGGATGCTCTTCTGCTCACCCCAGCGTGGTTATCAGAGCTCTTTTCGGCTTTAATGTCAGGTCAGCACACTCTGGCCATTCTCCCGAGACTTTTGTCATTATCAAGGTATTTCTCACGGGGTATTTTTGTTTCTCACTCCAGTTCGACAGAGCTGTGCAGACTGCAGTGAGATCAGTAATTATAGAAATACCCAAACCAACTCGTGTGGCATCAACAGTCATGCCAGAATCATGGTTGGAAATACGGCCTGATCATATTTTTCCCAATTCTAATGACATTAACTGAAGCTTCTGAGTGCTTGCATGATGGATGTTCTATTATTTAACTGTCCTTTTATTTTGCCAATGCATTGCAAGAAGGACTCCCTTTCTAAATTACAAGAACAAATAAACTTGCAGGCCTGTGTAATGGAGCTAAGTCTGACTTGTAGTTTAGTGTAGTTTGATTTTCTACAAAATTACCAAGAAATTACACAGTACTTAAAAATACTTATGCAGTATTTAAAAATACAGTATAATACATACAGTATAATACCAGGAATTTAGGCACTACCTAAATTTTTTTATACATGCTTAAATTTACCTACAGTTTAATTATGTCTCTCTCTCTTTTTTTTTATTTTTATAAAAAACTGACTTATTAACCCCTTATTCTTGGGATACTACTTGTAGGTAAATGTAACTACAATGTAATTTCAAATAAAATAATTAAAGTTCCATTTACAGGGGAGTTGCTGTAGTTCCTGGTTGTATTGTAAGGTGTTACTCATAATGCATTTAATTTTTTGATGTATCTTTAGGATGAACTGGCCACAACTGCTGGCTCACCCTTTCTGGAAACAGATTATAAAGGAGGAAGAGGATGCCGAAAAAGGTGAAGAGAAGAATGAAGAAAATGAAGAGGCAGAAAATGTCTGCAAGGAGGTTGTTTCTTGTAGTTTCAGGTAGGTTATGTTTTTTCATTTTTCTAATGTGTTTTGATTTTAAAAGTCCAACATAATTACCAGCATTTATTTTCCTTGTTATTTTTGGCTGTCAGTGGGGATGTGAATCGTGTTTGACAAAGGTTGATATCAGAGAATTTAGCTAATAAAGAAACAGCTTGCAGAAAGGGTTCTGTATCGCCATTTTCACTCATGTGCTTCAGCATAGACCTTTTCTTGGCATTATCCGATGGAGCTACATACAAGAACACCGATGTTGGATTAAGTTGAATTGATCTTTAAATTTTCTTTTTTTGCCTGCAATATCTGTCTGGATCCATTCAAGAATAGTGCAGATGATAGCTGGGTGCATTCATGAGTAGACTTCATGTGTCCTGCTTTCTGCAGGAAGCACTTTCACTTACACCAACTGACCGAGTAAAACGAGTAGTAAGAACCCGTCTGAACGGAAATACTTCCTTTTTCTCTGTTACACGTTAGAAAGGGTAACTTCAGCCAGTGCTCAGACCTGAAAAAGAAAGAAAATGACCATGAAGTCTTTTTAGTTCTCACTACCTCCACAGACACACAAACACATGTGACCTTTTCCATCCGTGGCAAGCAGCGAGCCTTGCCAACAGCCACTTAGCCCTCAGTCAGCTAGCTTATGGGATGTCTGAGAAACTAATATCATCTCTTACAACAACTGACAGGCCATGTGACAGAAGGACTGACAGCCAAAATTCTGTCAACCACACATCCTCTGGAGCCTTGAGCCAAAGCCAGACCCTGAATAGTGAAGTCGGAAGGGAGAGAAGAAGAGAAGGAGAACCTGACGATGACTCTAAGTTAACTGGGAGTCTGCAAATGTGCCGCACACTGCAGCCCAATAAGTCATTCACACTAGGTAACAGATTCGTCAAAGTCTGTGTGGTTTAGATTAAGCAACAACATTTAATACTTAGTCACAGTAAGCTACTTAACTTTGAATTTTAATTTGTACTTTAACACTAGTCATTTTTGTATATATGAACATTGTATGTGTGATAGATTCTGTTTTTTACAATATTTATCTTCAAACCATTAATTAATCATTAATCTGGTTTTATATTCCACTGTTTTGCTTTACCATTTTTTTGTACTAGAATTTGTTTGTGTTTGGTTTTTGGTTTGTTGTAGGTCTACATTATACTAGTAGTTTCTATTGCGCAGATCTGATTTCTGCTTATTATGATGTAAGGTTCATCTTTCACCATACCACAAATTTATGTGTCTTTAAGTACACACGTGCTTACTTCTCCAGATAATGTTTCAGACCTGAAGCCAAAGAGTGGTTTGGATGAGGACAGCACTGAGGCCATTTTTCTGCTCAGGTATTCTGTACTCACTCTTTCCTAGTTTCCCTTACAGAGTTTTGTTCCTGTTTTCAGTGCACAAGTTTACAGATAAATCATTCCAGAGGAAGAATGTGAATCTCGTGTCTCAAAAGTGATATGTAAGCTTTGGACTTACTCTTACAGTAGGAACACACCTAGAACGAGTGGTACTCAGATGTCTATAGTAAACCATACATTGCTCTCCATACTCTTCTCTTCCTGTTCTTGTAGCTCCCGTGCCAACTCAATCAGAAACTGCAGTTCATCTGACTGTCCAAATCAGAACATTGCACCTCAGGTTACTCTCACTACCAGTAACTGTACTGACACTACACCCTGTGTGAAGGATCTTCTCCACACTGAATTTGATCTCACTGTCACCCCAGTCCTCGACAACCCCAAGGTAAAGGCGTGTAATTATATGATATGATGGCTGTTTCATATTTCTTTTTTTAATTCATTAAAATACATCTGTCAAACCTCTGTTAGTCTTTAAGTCTTCTTAGTGGGAAACTTTCTTGCTCCTTCTTACATAAGAATAAGACATTTATTAACAACCTTTACTAGCAATGTAGAAAAAATGGCTACAATTGACTATTTTGAGCTCTGTTTAACAGATTTTGAAGAACACACCTGTGCGATATGATCCTAAAACCCTATGTGTACCTGCATATTCAGGTATGTTTTTTGAGCTGGCACAAAGTCAGTTTAGTGTCCTGAAAAAAAGCAAAAAAGTATCTCAGTGTATTGTCCCTGGTTTTTATCTTGAATCCTCTCTATTTTCCTGCAGGTGAGAAGCTACAGTCTCTGAGTGATGAAGAGTGGACTGTCTTTCTATCACAGCTTTGTTCATCCATTGAAGAACAGAGCCACTCCACTTCCACGGCCACTCGATCCAAACTCAACCTCCTGTGCTACCTTGGCTGTGTGGTTGGACATACAGTTATCGCTAACAGGCTGATTAACTCAAGACTGGTAGGAAAACATATTTGTTTTAGACTCCTGTTGAAATATGATCTGCTGGGTGGGTTTCTTGAGAACAGTTGCATAACTGTGCAGCTTAATAGAATGTATTTAATATCTCAACCCTACATGACAGCAAGGGATCCTTAGTGTTAGCTGAGGAAGATTATAGTTGGAAATCTTTCCACTGGCATGTCTACAATTGAATATTTATAATGAGCTATTGTTTTCCAGTTTGTTCATTTTCTACTGACCTTGTGCTGTCTTTTTTTGTCTGTTTGTTTGCCCTGTCAACAGAGAACTTCAGTAAGAGGATGTAGGTGTGTGGGTCATGCTTTTGCTCCCAGGTAGTCATTAGTCAAGTGGGAGTCATTAGTACCGCACAAGGATGCAGTTTCATAGAATTATTCAGGGCTCAAATAAAGATACCTCTTTCAATCTGATTTTGGGCACAGAGTTCCTGAAAAAAATGTAAGATTAAGATTAACAAAAGCACAGGAAAATTATATTTAGAATGTTTTTTATTTATGGTATTATTACTGATATAACCATACTTTTTCTATCTGTAATTAAATAAAGTAATGATAATTGTTTTTTATACGGCTCATCTTTTCCACTCAACAATTTGAATTTGAAAAAAGTTAATTTCTTTTTACTAAAACATCGAACACTCTCATTAACAATCCTTTTAGAAGTCACAATGAACTTAGATTCCATGCTTTGTGGCAATATATCATCATTTTCTACATATTTATATTGTTTGCTATCCTTTTCCTTCTTTCTGTCACTCTAATTTCCTCAATTCTTCATTCAGCTTCTAGTTTTGGTCCACCTGTTGCGACAAGCTCCTAACTGGGACATGTAAGTATACAATGTATGTTTGTTCTATAAACAGGGGACACTGTAACATTGCTTTTTTTTTAAAGTGCTAATTTCTGATGTGGCAAAACATTATGATTAAAGAAAAGCACGATTCTACATCCTCTCTCAATTGCTTTTTTTTAACATTGTTTTATGAACTGCAGTTCCTATGATTATATCTAGAGTGGTTAAGCATGCTCTAAGAAATTTGATGTTTATACATTTTCTTTGCTTTATGTTGTGTTTTTCTTCTAAGGATGCTGGAAAACTTAAACACCATGACCAGTTTTATAAAATCAGTAACTGAAAATGTTTTTAAAAAATCCCGAGATGATATCCAAGCTGAAAATTCACAATTAACATAATAAATAAAAATGAAAAATGCCTTGCAGACGGAGCAAGGTTCTCAGAGTGATGGGACTACTGGCTCTGCACTGTAGTGACCTTGGATTGGACAGTCCTGTTTCTGAGGTCAGGAATATACACACATACTAAATAGAGTTATGCTTATTTCCTTTAGATTTTTTTATTTCCATGTATTCATTTATTTATTTACTTAGGGAGAACAGCTACTGCTCATTTGCTCATTTTTTTTTAACCTTAACCTAACACAATTTTCAAATGTTAGTATAAAATTTATACTAGGGCTCCTAGCTAATTGTCACAATTGTGTAGGTGTGCCAACACAGATTTAAAACCCCAAGACATTATCAATGCAATTAAATAGATATTTTATTTATGGAATTTTATTTATTTATTATGTATTAGAAATAAAAGTGTAACACTGGCAACTATAGAAAGAGCAAAACAGTCATTTTATTTCAGACAAGTTATTTAATGCGCTGAGTAACCAAAAAATTGAGAAGTCCTGTTTTCTTCAAAATGTTTCATGATCCTCAGACCTGCAGTACAAATTTACACCACAATGTGGCAGTAAATACCAGAAAGAGCACATTTATTGATGTAAAAATGTAAATTTATCCACAACAAAATACATAAAGGTTGATTTAGCATGTCTTGCTTAATTTTATTGTGCATGTGGCCATAATTAGTACTTTTGTTTAGAGGCATGCAAACAATAATAAAAGCTTTTAGCTGAGGAAGGAGGAAAAAAACTGTCCTGAAACAAGATGTAGAAATACTTTATAGTACCAGTATTTACCAGCTGGCGGCGTTAAAAAGCTACAAGACAACCATAGCCTGTGTACAGTAAATAGGAACTTTAGAGATATCTTGCGCTCTCTTGCTTCTGCTCACTCTTGCTCTCTCTCTCTCTTTCTCTCTCCCTCTCTCTCTCACTTTTGCTCTCATCAGTTCAGTTAAATTCAGAGTGGCTATATTGGCACGGTGCTTCTGAAAAAAATATTGCCAAAATAATTTGAGTGTACACAATAATAGTGGTATAAATATTTATACAATTTATTTAATCAAGTATAAAGATTAATATATAACTGTTATGTATCAGTCTATGATATATCATTTTCATGTTTGTGTCTGGATCAATCCATGTAATGTGTGTGTTTTGGTCATTCAGGGACCCTTGGGTGTGCCTTGCTCCTCGCCAAAGGAGTGTATATATAATATAAAGAGTTGAAGTACTTACTGTAAACATTGCTGTTTCATTAAACATTAGAAATTGTAGGAGGATGTGTATCTCTGACCACTCAACTCCACTCTACACAAAGAGTGACCACTAATGTACTTAGTTAAGATTGTTATTGGTGTGCTTCTAACCGTGGAGTAGATATTCTGCCATAATTTCTTTTGAAATTGGCCAGCTCTACTTCGACTTTTTTTCTTTTCTTTCTAATGTTTGAAAATGGTTTCTTGACATAATTTGGGGAACTGATTGGTGCTTGGAAAGCAGTGTTGTTGTGATAATAGCCAGATAATGTCTGAGAGGGAGCAGTTAATCTCAGCCCCAGCTCACACAAGGGACTCTTTTCTGGGCTCATCTTTTAGTTTTGGAGGGCTTTGGACTAGAGGGTGTCTGAGGGCTAGATTTGAGGTGATTAATAAATTTGAGTGTTCAATTTTTAATTTAAATTTTCAATGGATGTCTGCCTCATTCTGCTCTGCATCCATTTGTGGCTGTTTTTCTGTGTACATGTGCAGTAAAGTGCATCTGCAGGACTATACATGTAAACAATTCAGTTTTTTCGCATAATTACTGTGGTGACTCAGTGGAGCCTTTACTTTACTGTCTTACAACAAAAATTGACTGGTTAACACTTTAGCTGAAATTTGGAACTCAAATGAGGAATCAAATTTGCTTTTAATTGCATTTACAGCTTAAGCTTTTTTCTTTTAGTGTATTTACTGCCACGTTGAAACTCCCTGATGCTGTAATGCTCATACCAAAACAGACTTCCCTCTAGTCACTAAGAGACTGGAATCATTGATTCTAAAAAATAAATA